TGCATCCTCCCACCGAGCCTGCAACAGGGAGACAAAGAGAAAAAGACATGTTGAAATGCCAGCTGCTCACTCAATAGTGCCTACATCAAAGCCAAGCAAGATGCTGTTGTGAGGGGCTGGTCTCCAAAGCACCTCTGATTCCAACCTGGGAATCAGTGCCACTCATCAGCACCAGGCTTAGGACAGGGATGGGAAACATCACTTTCACATCATTATGCTTATAAGAATTCAGGAAAGCACCAGGCTTAGGTCAGGGATGGGAAACATCACTTTCACATCATTATGCTTATAAGAATTCAGGAGACTACTATACTGTGGATGTTTCTAAGAAGAAAAAAACAAAACAATGACTTCACTTTTTATAAAGTAGAAAAGACAGAGCCCATCCTTTCTCACTGAATGCCGGTAAACTAAAATGAAGGTTTACATTTCCTTTACACAGTTAAGATAGCTACAGGGAAGTGAAAATGACTTTCAGTAAAATATGACTGTCAGCCCAGTTAGGAATGTTAATCTCTTTATTAAACCTCTCAGATCAATGAATTCCGAGCTTGTCTCAGGCATCATCCTTGTCTAGCATGTGACAGTATATAGACAGCGGTTATCCCCTCGCTTACCCTCGAGGTCCCAGCTGATCTTTTCTAAAGTGTGTCCTCTCATGGCTTCCAAGACCTAAAGTTTCTCTATGCTCTGTTTTCTGCTTCTTAGTTTCCTAGTGGGCTCCAATTTTCTATGTATTATGTAGTTACTTCCACGGAATTTAATATTCCCTCCTAGAGGAAAGCTTGCAATACTCGAGAAGCTAACAAACCTACAGGGCTCTGGAAGCTTAGAAAGTTTCAATATGGAGAAGGCCTCCTCCCTGGGGTTATATAAGCAGTAAAACAGTGGGAAGGTAAGACACGAAGGTTACACCTGTCCCTCTTTCTATTCCTACTGAAAGATTACTATGCGCTTATATTGGAGCAGAGTAATTGCAGTTAGAATGACACAAGCCATCCTGCCTTTATGCATCTCCTTTCTTTTCCACCCCACATTTCATAGATTGTACCCCTTAAACCTCTCTAAAAGCACCACTTCTGGGGACCAAGTGCTCAAATGTTTGTGCCTATATTCAAACCACCACACCCAGCACATATTACTAACACAAACCTGCACATCTACTTTCTCACAGCAATCCTGCCTCATGACTTTCCAACTAAGCACACCACACACACTGGATCAACTTTATTTACACTGCTTCCTTGTATGCAATCTTCTCTCTACCTATTAAAGTTTTAGTCCCTTTCACTATTCTATCATGTTATATTATGTTTTATGATGTCACTTATTATTTTTAAATTTTTTAGTCTTCTTTCATACAATATATTCTGACCAGTTTCCTCCTCCTCCTTTTTCTCCTCCTAGTCCCCTCACCATCCCCTCATATTAGGCTGAATGATGTAACCCAGTAGGAGGAAAAGGGTCCCAAGAGCAGGCAAAAGAGTCAGAAATAGCCCCTGCTCACACTGCTGGGAATCCCACAAGAACACCAAGCTATATATATACAACCATAACATGTATGCAGAGGACCTAGGTCAGCCCCATACAGGCTCCCTGATTGTCACTTCAGTCCTCTGTGAGCCCTGGTTAGCTGATTCTGTGGGACATGTTCTTGTGGTGCCCTTGACCCTCTGGCTCCTACAAACCTTTCTCCCTCTTCCACAGGATTCACCAGCTTCCCAAATGTTTGGCTGTGGGTCTCTGGATCTGATGACAGAACTTCTTTTTAATGATTTAGTTCTTTCTATGTGCATGTGTGTATGGAGTTTCGCCTGTGTGTCTGTGTGAGAGTGTCAGATCCCTGGAGGTAGTTACAGCCAGTTTTAAGCTACTGTGTAGGTGCTGGGAATTGAACCCAGGTCTTCTGGAACAACAGTGTTCTTAACTGCTGAGCCATCACTTCTTAATGCAGACTGTTACCACCTGTTGTAGAATGCAGCTCTCTGAACAAAGCAGCCTCCATCTTCACCAGACCAGCTATGCCTGCTTGCAAAAGTCTATCAGGAACCAGGTTGCTAGCTGTTGACATTCCCTTATAGGCAAGGGTTGGGGAGGGGTTGGACTCTCACCTGAAATTCCAGCCACTCCTTACAACCATTTGTTTGCAATGCTGCCTTAACTGCATATGGCCTCAGGGCTCAGATATGCTGGAGTAATAGGCTGGGGAACGTTTTGCTGAAGGAGCGCCATTGATGTGGCTACAGAGAAGCCATCATCCACACTGGGTACAAACTTGCAAGTGCGACTGCTTTGAGACCCCCCTACTCCTGCCAGTAATCCCTCACCCATTCTGTATAAAAGCAACCCAACAAAAACATTGGTTCCCTAGGTTGAACTTTGGTGGAATCATAATTTGGTTTTTCATTAGGACCGTATGATGAGGAGGTAGGCACTGTTTCCATCTCCCCAAGGAAAGAATTCTCAAAACACCATCATCATAGTGTTTAATTCTTTCATGGCAGTCTCTCCTTTAGTCACCTCTGCTACCACAGCGACTGGAGACTTGCCAGATAATAAAGTAAAATGATGTTTAGTGACTGACAAGCCCAGGTAGCCTTCCTGAACTGTGAGAGTGAGCCCTGCCTCTAGAAATACAAGGCCATTATCTTAAAGTAGAGGTGAGCCAACTGGCACCAAAATCATATCCTCAAACCACAATTATGACACGATCACTTTCAAATGGATAGATACATGTTTGCCTTAGAACCACTTTGGAAATCCTTTCAAGATTAGGTGGGCCAAGCTGAAATTTTACAGAATGGCAGTAACAACAACCAGTGTGCAGGGGGTGGGGTTGGGAGGACAGTTTGGGAACTGTATTTGTAAATGATGCCAACACTTGGTTTAGACAAAGTATGTCATGTGTGCATGAACAAATACCTAGAAAGCTATTTCAGGCCTAGGTAAGCACATGTAGACCTTAAGATATCCAGGGCTTACCACAGATACCTTAAGAATCTGGAGAGATGAGATGATCCTAACACCACTACTCACTGTTATCACTAGACTGTGTCTGCAGGGCTTTTAAAATCAGCTAAGGAGATAAGTTGCTTGAAAGTTCCTGAAGCTTATTTAATGGAAATGAAAACCATTTGAACTAGTTACCTAACAAACTTCATGATCCTTTCTCTGTCAACTTTTCCTATCACATTTCTGAGTGGGATATTTATAGATTCACATGGATGGAGCAGATTTTTCTGAAGATATGCTCAATTTTAGAAAGTAAGCTATTAGTTCCCTCTATTCCGACACTCCAGAGACCGATCCTGGGACAGGAGGTCACATGCAACCTATCTCTTACACTGTGGGTCTCAGGAGTCAAAATAGAATTGTCCTATAAGGAGCTGAAATATAGAACAGGAAGGTAGAAAGACAGGCTTCTCTGAGGAACATCCACAGGAGAAGCTTCCATACAGAGAGGACAGTCGAGCAATAAGAGGAGACCAGCCCTCTAAAAGAGTGCCAAGGGTCAGGATCAAGGAACACTCACAGCAGGAATGACACAAAGTAACAAAGAAGTGACTCCAAAAGGACTCATAGTCCAAAAATAAAAATAAAACCAGCAAAATAACCCACAGACTTTCAGTATGGAAAATGGCAGCCATAGAAAAACAGAAGTATCCAAGGAGTCCCCGTTACTTATCCCCCTGCTTCAACAATTGCCAAATACCTTGCCTCTTCTGCCCTCCCTTCCACTTGCTGTCCTATTGTATGAGCCAGAAGGGATCTCTGAGATCATCCCACTCAGTTACCTCATTTATATACAAGTAAATGTTTTGTTATAGAAAAGCTGAATGATCTGCACTGAGATCACACAGACTTGGGGGAGAAAAAAAACTTCCTAGAACCACCCTGATTAACACTGCTGGCCAGACACTGTGGGCAGCTTGTATGTGACAATGAGGCCTACAGAATATTTCTGTGATGTGAGAAGGTAGTTCTTACTTTCTACTGCCTTGTTTCAAATATGACCAACTAGTCGTCATCCATGGATACGAACAACAAAACCAATCTCCTCTTAATATTTCTACCAGAAAAATCCCATTCATTCACAAATGGCTGAGCATCCACCAATATACATAGGAACTGTTCTGGCTATGAGGGATACAGCGGTGAATTAAACAGACAGACAATCTCTACCTTCACAAAGTATGTATCTAATTAGGAGAAACATTCTAAATTGATGTGCATCTGTAGCGCGTGTGTGAACAATTACAACGTGAGCTAACCACGATAAATTAATGTGATATGAGAAAAGAAGGATAAAGGTTCCTATTTTAGGTAGAGTGCAGAGGGTGGTTGGATTCTCTGAAAAGGTAAGATATGAGACCTGTTCACGAATTTGCGATAAAACATTTGTCAAAAGTCCTTTTAATTGAAAGAGCCATACTGAGGGTACAGAGCTAAGTCTCAATGGGATTCAGTCTGCAGTTATCATTATCACGATTATGACCGTGACACTTCAAGCGGGAAGGCAGCTCCTTAACGGGGGCAGGTGCGTCTCTTGTCATTACAAGGCAGAAGCTAGCAACCGCGGCTCCCATATGTCCGGGGCTTGTGGAGGCGCCCGGGTTACCCTGCCCTCCAGCTCGCACTATCTGAAACAGCCAGAAAGAAGCACGAGACACCAAACGTTACAGACGCCCTGGCCTGTACAAAACTGGTCCACATCTCCGTGGCCTCGTCCCTTCAGGCTACCCCAAAGGTCACCTCCCTTGCCAGGTGACAAGCCAAGGGCTTCCAAGGTTGCAGCCAGCCGGAACCACTGTGTCGCGCGTGGCAAAAAGGAAAGAATTCTCCCACGACCGTGCCAGATCTGGTACAATACCTGTGAGGAGGCGCGAGGAAAGGGTGTGCGGGGACGCAGCCATAACGCACCGGTGCAGCTGTCCCCTGGATTCTCGTGTCCTCTCACCTCACCGGCCCCTGGGCGCCGCCATCTTGCTAGCCCGGCCTATGAGCGAGGCGGGACTTCCTGTTCGTCACTTCCGGCTCCCAGGGGACGCTGAAAGTTTGTCTGCTGGAGCTTGTGGAGGTGCAGAGGTGATGTCTTTCTTCACCTGCTCCTCAGGTGCTCGGGGTGGAGACTGTGTGAACGGATGCTCTCTCCTGGGGGCAGAATCGCTGGCCCATGCGGGCGGAAGGAGGGGTCGTGGCGGGGGTGGGGGGGGAGTAGTCCTCCGTGCTTGAGAGAATTGAAGCCTCCTGAATTGTCATCCAGGCTGATATTGCACAGCCTCCGGCTTCTCGTGTTAGGGTTTGGTAAGTAAAAGAACGAGGAAGAAAGGAACTCCTTAAAAAGAAGAGCGAAACCTGCCTTTCAAGGACAGCTTGTGTCTGCTTTTGGCGATGAGGTGAGATCCCTGTGGTTCACCTCAGGTGCTAGGCAAGAGACCGGAGAGTCGCCAATTGTGTAAGAACACGCCCTCTACCTCTGCAATAAGAGGTGGTCAGCCTGATAGGGATTTAGGTAAAAGCGCCACGGAATGAGGTTAACATTTCTGTGAGGCTGGCTTTCTGAAGAAAGGCTTCGAAGGGCCAACTTGCTGCTCACTGGGAGGAACTGTGAGCCTTTTCCAGCTTACAAGGAAGACAGAGCAGAGAATGGGATTGGTTCTTTGTGGCCAGTCAGAGTTCATCAAAGTATCCCCATCAAAGTAATGTTAAACTAAGAAAGAAGAGAACGGATCCTGGAGAGTGACTGTAAAGTCAATTAAAAACTGTGTTCAACGCACTGTTTTGCAAGCACTTTGAACATGGCCTGTTCTGTGAAATATCATCAAGTGCAAGCCTTAAACACACAAACCAAGTGCACAATTTGGAGTTACAGTCATACCAACAGCGTTTGCTTATTCTTAGATAAATCAGGCCTTCTGTTTTGCAGCCATCTTGGCTAATTAGACCTACTGTTCCTGGAATTGGATGGTTATTAGATGTGGAACCTGAGGGCTAGAGAGACTGAGTGATCAAACAATAGAATATACAGCAATGTTTCCTGTCTCTTTATATATGTCTCTTAAAATTCGTGTTACTAAAACAAAAAAGTGGTAAAACAGCATACTCCCTAAGATGTCTATAAACAAAATTAAGCAATAAAGGAATTGGCAAGTTTGTGAAGAAATACGTATCCTGATACATTGCTTATGAGAATATAAAATATTGTACCCAGTCTGGAAAACAGTTGAGGTGTTTCTCAATAAGTTAAACACAACACTACCTCTTAACCCAGCTGTGCCTTTCCCAAGTATATGCCCGAGACAAATGACAGCATTTGGTCACTCATAATATCCCAAAGTGGTATAACCTAAGTGCTCATCAACTGATTACACATAGTGGCCATATTTGCAATAAAATGAAAATAAAGTACAAATACACACAACCATGAAAATAGTACTAAGTTAAAGAAGTCAATCACAAAAGACCACCTATTGGGTAGTATCCATTTATATGAAAAGTCCAGAGTGCTTATGTCATTAAAGAGAGAAAGTGGGTAAGTAATTACCTAGTGCTAGTAGAAGGGGTAGGGAAAAAAAGGAGTGATTGTTAATGGGTACAGGGCTCATTTGAATAGAGGGAAGATAAAAATATCCCTAAATTGATTATGGGGCTAGTTGTACAAGTCTGAATATATTTAAAACCAGAGAGTAGTCAGTTGATACTTTTTTGTCAGATAGATATAAAATCTTTTTTGAAGACAATTGGCAATATTTTCATAAAAATACACTGAAGACTGTCCAACTCCCTCAGTTTTCAGTTTATTTTGCTAGCTTCTCACTAATTACGTGTTTCTCTGCCTCTGCTTAGTATCCCATGGCAGAAGTGTGTCTCCCCTCTGCAAAGAAGACTTACAATAGGGATAAGTAAAGAACAGATATGTTAATTGACATGAATGGGAGTGGTTCCTTTGTTCTACCAGTACTAAGGGATTAACCAAGGCAAGCACTCCTAAGCTCTACCTCTAGCCCCACATTGATTCTTTGGACAATTAAAAAAAAAAAAAAAAACCTTCATGAAGGCTCAGCTACTGCTAGGGAATGATAGAAGGCACTTCCAGAAGTACAGGCAGATGAGAAGCAGGGAGGAACAGAAGCTAGAAGCTAGTCCCTTCTCCCTGTGCCTTTCTTGCTGCATCTGCTGCATCATTGCCCTCATGGGCAGAGCTATGCTGGGCACCTGCAGCAATGTGGTTGACCTGTTCCCAGCTCTAGGCACACCACGACAAGGTAGCCTCATAGATTACTGATGGGAGTTCTTTAGAATAGGTGTTTTACTCTTAAGTAATTGGAATTTACAGCTTCCCGTGAATTTGACCACATTCCTCAGAGTTCCTCGTTGTTCCTCTAGGGTGATAGAGCACATTAGGGTAGGATCATCTCTGGGATCATTCCAGACAGATCCCTCAGTTGAAGTCTGTCAGCACCTTTTCCTTCTTAACTTTCCAGGGCTCAACTCCATATGTGAGTTTTAGGATACTAAATGTGAAAATTACAGCTATTTAGACTGGAATAAGTTCTCACCAACACCTTTGTAATAAACTGACCCTGATTGTATTGAGGGAAACAAAATTCCCAATGCCAAGGAAGAATCACGATTGCTTTAAGACAACATAATTTTATTCATCCTTACCTGTCACTCAGTTACTGTCACTAGTTTTCCAACAGTAGGATGGCTGTGTTGCACAGATAGGAGAATGAAAAATAAAAGAGAAGCCTGCTGGTGAAGTTTGGAAAATTTTGTTTACTGTTGAACTGAATAAGGAAAGGGAGGTGTTCTTTCTGCCTTGCTTCTTTTATTCTCAGGAAGCAAGGTTGAGACTGAAAATTCTTGAAGCTGAGACAGCCATCCTGAAGCTCTGTGGTAACAAGCCTGAAAAATAAATAAGCTTCAGTTTCTTGCATCCTGGGTGAATGGCCTCGGGGGCTAGACAATCTGCATTAGAGCTTGCTGAAGATACATGAGACACAGACAACTGGGACTGTGGCAGTACTCCAAAAAGAATGCCATGCTTAGTGAAAATAAGACACATTCAAACATAGTGACTTGGTTTTCTTAAGTTATTTTTTTGAGATGCAGTCTCAGTATATAGCCCAGGACTGACTTTAAACTAGTGCTCCGCCTGACTGAGCCTTCTGAGCACTAGGATTGCAGGTATGCACCACTAGGTTGAGGTGATAGCTATTTCTAATATAAAATAAATCTATAATCCTTTAAGTAACACTAAAAATGAAAGGCCATTTTGTACATATTTGTTTCCTGTTGTGTTTCTTGCTGTTTTTTGTGCACCCATCTTTTCTGGAACCAGCTACTACTTCTCATCAGTGAGCCTCTTTTTCTCTGCCTTTGCATCTTTAGCCCAACAGCAAGTACAGTTTTATTTATTTATTTATTTATGTGTGTGTGTGTGTGTGTGTGTGTGTGTGTGTGTGTGTGTGTGTGTGTGTCTGTGTACTTATGTGTCCCATGGCATATGTGCGAAGATCAAAAGACAACTTTCAGGAGTTGGAACCCTTCTTCCATGGGTTCATTCCCCGAGTTGAACTCAGGTTTTGAGGCTTGTAGGACAAACATTTTACTAGCTGAGCCATCTCACCATACCATAAGTCAATTTGTTATGACAATGCATTGCATATTTGCAAAACAACATCTTTTAGCACACACTGTGCTGTTACATAACACCTCCTCATTTCAGTGTTGTTCTTTTTTCTCAAGAACTCTGATACATTCATTGGCATTTCAGATGTGTCACCCATTTTTCCAAATTCCTACTCTAAAAGGTGTCACAATTACAATTTAAGCCTGTCTAATCCCAAGACACATGTTTTCAAGTCTGCTGTACTGTTCCATATTTTATGTATTGCACAGTCTCTGTTACCTAGTATTTTTTTATTCTCTAGAATTTTTTATTTCATCAAACCAGTGAAGTTATTGAAGTCCAACTTTAAATAATTTGCTTGATTTTTACATTTGCTGACTTGGGTTCAACTTTCTTTGACCCAGTTTTGTATATGTATAGGACAGGATACTAATACCAGGTCTACAACTTAAATTACTCTACACTGTGAGTACTTAGTCCATATTTGGACCTTTGTAAGAATACCTACTTCTACCTAAGACCTCTTAAATCAAACTTTTTGATTGTGGACTTGTCAATTTAGCTTTAAGAATTATAATTTTCTGAAAGTCATATAAACTTTATATGAAAATAAGAGTCCATGTAGTAGTTACTTTTCTATTGCTGTGATAAATTATCATTACCAAAATCAACTCAAGGAAGACTTTATTTAACCCGATGGTTCCAGAGGGATAGAGTGTGTTGGGTTCCAGAGGGATGGTAGCATCCTCTTGGGGAAGGTTTGGCAGCAGGAGCAGGATATTAAGAGCTCATCTTAACTGGACAGACGAAGCAAAGAAAGTAAGAGGGCAATAAATGTGCTGAGGTTATAAGCCCTCAAAAATAGCCCCATGGAAGCCAGGCAGTGGTGGCACATGCCTTTAATCCCAGCACTCTGGAGGCAGAGACAGGTGAATCTGAGTTCTAGGTCAGCCTGGCCTACAGAGCAAGTTCCAGAACAGGTTCCAAAGCTACAGAGAAAAACCTGTCTAGAAAAAACAAAAACAAACAAAAAAAAATCAAGCAAATAAATAACAACAACAGCGACCTTCCTTCCAGCAAGGAGAGCCTCCTAAAGGTTTCATAACTTCCTCAGACAAAACAACCAACTACAGACTGAGTATTCA